GTTGATAAAATATTAATTATAAATTCTTGCCTAATGAGGAAAGATCTAAAAGCTGCTTGCACTATAACATACTGTTTCATCAATTCTAATTGTTTCTAATTGCCATTAAATGGTAAATAAAGTAAATTATGTTAATTAATTAGCATCATTTAATAATAAAATTTAATAAATTAATTAATTTTTCTTACCTGTTTTATTGAATTAACCCTCTCAGGTTGTATTCTCTCCAAATTAAGATCTGGTATTTCACTCCCTTCCAGTGAACATTTCTAATAATAGCAATTAAATGGAACAATTTTAAATAATATAAATTTTACTAATAATAATTGTTTTGAATTATAATTTATTCAGATTTGTTTAAATAAGTCAAAAATGACATCACTTCTTGACATTCAAACGGTGATTGTTGCTGAATTGATTGCTCCTCTTCAAATTCTTCAGTCATTTGTTCTTCTAGTTGCTTAATTTCTGCTTGATGAAGTTTTTGCTGTTTAAAATTCGAATCATAAAAATATGAATAAAGACAAACCTCCGAATACAACGACCACTAACGGAAACACAAAAAAATGGCCGTTGTTTGAAGGTTATTCTGTACTCGTTTCAAAAAAAAAGTTCCTGAAAAATGGCCGACACTTAGAGGTGGCCGTTATTGGAAGTTCAAAGCCCAGGTAGTTAAGGCTTCATACTACCGCTCTGAGGGACCCAGAATCGGATTCGGCAAACAACCACGGGGATTTTTCAAGGGCGAATAAGTCCAAAATAAGTCGGCTCCGTCTCTCACCACTAGATCGTCTCTATTGCGAGCCTGGCCGAATCCACAATGGATATGGAAAAATAATTTCTTAATGCCCATAGGCGAAAAAATCAAGGTTTTTTTTCCTCTTTAATGCAAATTAAAAGCTAATTAGGGAGAAAATAACACATATCGCTTGATCAAAATATTTTACAAGAACAGACTGGTAACAGGAACGTATTTGAGGGGTGCACAGGGCACAGCTACCTCCTTTCTGAGATTCCTCCCGAGTAAAACCGGGTATATCAGATAGTAAAAAATTCTGTAAGGCCATTCGGTACCTTACTGCATCCCCTCTAAAGATTTCTAGATCCCCTAATATCAGGTTTGCCCTTTCGATATTTATAAATCTGTAAAAATACAATTATTGCAGACTAAAATTATAGAATAGAATCATTCGGTGCTAAAGTGGCACTATTTGTTTGAGGGGCACCTACATATTGTGGACGTAAGGGAACCATATTTCTAAATACACAACTGCTTATAATTGAAGTAATAAATAAGAATTAACTAATAATTATTTATTATCCATACCTGTTCGTGGATAAATTTGATTTCGTACATTAATCTTCGAACAATGAAACCACGAAAAGCAGCTTGCAACGTCCTAATCTGATTCGACTGGTGCTTACTTTTAAGATTATTTTTCGTTTGCTGGATTTATTGTTGATAAAAGACATTGAATTTTATTGCAAATGATCCACGATAAGAATTACAACAAATTAACTAAACAATTATCTTACTATTAATATCATTGCCTTTCTTCTAATGATGAAGTCACGTACAACACCTTGTACTACTTGAATCTGTAAATCTTGTAAATATGATTTTGATTTAGTCTTCGAGTATTTAATATCCAATTTGATGGAATGATTCTATAAATTTGAGAAATAAAATGATAAAATTTTATGCGAAAAACCTAAATTTTAATTATTTAAATAATTGTGAAATTTAAATATGGAATTAATTAAATGGGCATTCTGTTATTGATCCATTGATATTAAAGTATGGAAGTTTCTCATTTTAGTGATTAACGAATGCACATTGTAGGCTTTGCATTCGTGGTATGTATATTATAGGCGCTTAACTGGCTAAATTAACTGTTCAATGGTTTTATCACTGGGCACTGGTATGCTAAAATATGTATTAATTCAGATGTTAAACGAGGAAAAAATCGTCAGAAATCCTTCTTACCAATGTTTCTTCACTATACGATTTCGTGTTAGTACGAAAAGATGGAGTTTCGGTACTTGAATTATCCTAAAAAAATTTCATTACAAAATGAAAAATATACACACTCATAAATTATTGAAAGAAAATTAAAGCAATTACTCACATCCATTCTATTTTTCGAATTTTCTTTTAATTTCGTATCAAGAAAACTTCCACGTTGGACGGCCATTCTCCACCAACTCTGGATCATAATCGATCCAAAATCCTATTTAAAAAGAATCTTGATAATCTCAAGAAAAAATAATCTTAAATTAATTTTATTTATATAAAATTCATTTTACTGCTTCTAATTTATTTGTAAAATTCTTAAGAAGAATTGTTGAACATTGATCGACATCCTTCTTTGCAATTTCATAAGTGTCCAGTTTTATCGTTTTGATAGATGAAAATCTAATACACGGAATATTCATCTGAAATTTTCCGTATTTTATATTATATTATAATAATATAAAAAGGAAAAAAAAGTGTGAATAATTAAATCTTACTATTCCCGTGTTATTTGATATCTTTAATCTTAATTTTTTAACATGTCCTCGATAGTAAACGAATAATTTCAAGTAACATCCTTTATATAATAGAGTTATCCTTCGTTCTAAACGTATTTTATGGACCTGTTTTCTCTTCACGGTGTTATTTCCATAAAAGAAAATTACAAATATATACAGTATTTTTTAAATTATAAAATTACTTCATCAATAACATCCTCAATATTGTCCTTAACAATGTAATATTTGAATTTAAAATATTCCAATTTTTATAAGTCCAATTCAAGTTTTTTTTGAAGCGAAAAATTTATAGAAAACGCAAAACACTTGGGGCCAAATCTCATTATCCATAATTAGCAAGTCAATTTTTAGGAGGCCCCGGTGGCCGAATGAATAAACCACTTAACACTGGGAGTTGGTCGTGGGTTTTCACCTCACTAAAGGGCTGCCCACGTGGAGTTTACCGGATTTTCTTCACGTTTGTAACACTAAATAAAGCTCAGTTTTCCATAGAAATCTTTCCTCGGCAGATCGCCCACATGTTGCATTGCGTCTACAAATAATTTTTTTCTATATTTTGTATGGAAATATAAAAGATATTAATATTTGTTGATATGGCATCATCAAGAGGAAATGGATATCATGAGTTAAGAAGAGAAAATTTCTTAATGAATTTTTATGGTATTAGTTTCCTGATATTTAATGGCTTCTGATGTTGGCTTTCTGACAGTAGATTCTATAAAACAAATTTCCCTTAATTCTTTATCATAATACAGTCAACAATGAGAAATTTTCTCTTGTTAACTCCTGATTGATAGTTCTTTTCTTAACTTCTTGTCAATATCAGGATGACTCCTCATATTTACAAGGAGTTGAAAATGTTTTCCTAGATTGTCTTACAAGAAATGGCCCTAAGTCCAAAAGCACTTGAATTTTCTGAAAACTCTTCGCTTTAAGAAAAACTATTTGAATTGTTTATGTTCAAGAAGCTTCTTTATCAAGAATATTTTTACAAATATTTCAAACTTACGCCATTTGAAGAATTCTTCATGCGTTCTAAATGATGACGGACTGTAGATTGAATCATAATTATTAAATAAATAATTCTTATTTCAGACGTTCGTTTAATTTTCATTCGTTCGATGCATCCTTTCAATAATGACTGACTATTAATTATTTTTTTATACATTAAAGCATAGCAAGTTTTTAAGAGTTTCATTCTTATGGTTGCTTGAATTACAGTTGCTGCTGCTACAGTCTGAAAAAATTAAAAATTCATCTTAGTTCCTATAATATTAGTTAAAATAAAACAATTTTTGTGACTTACTTCTTTAGTTTTATGTATTTGATCAACACAATATTGACTTTTGTGTAGTAGCTGGGATTTAGTTAAATTCCTAACTGACGCTTGAGATTTAATTAAATTTTCAGACACACTTTCATATGTTCCCAATTCTATTTCTACGGTAATTACGGAATAACTCTATAGATTAAATATAAAAAAATAATTAAATAAAATGTATAATTAACTTAAAATATAGTTTATGCACGTAAAGTATCATCATAAAGTCAGAATAAAGAATAAAAGATACTACAAGTTCATCATCTTTGTTCTCCTCCTCCTCCTCCTCCTCCTCTTTGTCTTTCTTTTTTATTTCATGACGATCAGTAAAACGCCTACATAATGACTGAGAATCAATTATTTTTCTATAAGAATAATTATATGATGCTCTCTGGCCCTTCATCCTCCATATTGATTGTATAACGATACACATCTAAATACAAAAATAAAAGAAAAAATATATATATATAATCTAAATAAACAAAATCTTGCAATTTCTTGAAAATTATATTTAAGTATACAGTACTTATATATTCAATAAACGTCTTCATTTCTTAATATTATACGAAAGTAATTTACAAAATTTACTTTCCACTAGTGGCCGAGTGGATAAAGCCATTGAATACTGGCAGTTAGTCGCGGGTTCGTGCCTTATTGCCGTGTTTTCTCCGCGTGTCTAACACCAATATGGGCCGGATGGCCAAGCGGTTAACGTGGCATTCTACCGCTCTGGAAATCCGGAATAGAATTTGAACAATTGAAAAACCCCAGGAACTCTTTGGGGATGGGTCATTCTGATATGTCGGACCCCATCCCTCAACACCCGACCACCCCATTGTAGGGTTATTTAAAAAGATCCTCTCAGTGCCCACAAGTGGATAGAGTTGTAAAATGCCCACAGAGGCCAGTTTTCTATTAAAAGTCATCTTGGGAGGCACCCCCCCTTGGCAGATAGCCCTCGTGCTATCGATAAATAAAATTTACTTTTTTCAAATGGTCAAGTTCATGCGATGTCCTTTTTCTGCAATTGAAACCACGAATCATTGTCTGAGTTATACTTGCTTTCTTGTAGTTAATTCGATATGCAATCCTTTGACATTTTCTTCTCCAATTTGCTTGAATAATTGTTGATTTCTAAGATTTAAATTTAATATACACGATAGGTTAACAAGTAAATACGTTTATAACTTAAATAATTGAACATTTATTTACGTTTTTCTTATCTTCAAATAAAATTTTCATCCTAATGAAATTCCCTCGGATTAATGACTGAATGCCCTTAATTCTTGTGTAATGAGTTTCATAAATACTCTTCTCTCGTATCATTTTCCAATTCGCTTGTATAATGATTGCTGCTAAATTCTAAAATAATTAAATCAAATTATCTTCTTTTGTATATTTTATATATAAAAATATATCTTAATATTAAAATACCATTATTTTTATTTGGGAAAATTCGTTCTGAACAATANTTTCTTGTAGTTAATTCGATATGCAATCCTTTGACATTTTCTTCTCCAATTTGCTTGAATAATTGTTGATTTCTAAGATTTAAATTTAATATACACGATAGGTTAACAAGTAAATACGTTTATAACTTAAATAATTGAACATTTATTTACGTTTTTCTTATCTTCAAATAAAATTTTCATCCTAATGAAATTCCCTCGGATTAATGACTGAATGCCCTTAATTCTTGTGTAATGAGTTTCATAAATACTCTTCTCTCGTATCATTTTCCAATTCGCTTGTATAATGATTGCTGCTAAATTCTAAAATAATTAAATCAAATTATCTTCTTTTGTATATTTTATATATAAAAATATATCTTAATATTAAAATACCATTATTTTTATTTGGGAAAATTCGTTCTGAACAATAAAACTGCGAATTGAAGATTGAACATTCATGATACTTTTGTATACACACTCGTACTTGGTAGCTTGAAAAATCATCCTCACTTGCGATTGAATGAAAATAGATTTCTGTAAAAGGAATGTTGCAAATTTATTTTGAAAATCATCTAAATTCATGCATCTTTCATTTTTATATTCTACACTCATTGCTGGCTTGATAGCCGAAGTGGCTAAGGCATCAGCCTATGGGTAATCCGGGCTTGAATATGAAGGGACAAAAACACTCGAAAATTTTTTGGATAGGTCTGTCCCGAATATATCTGCCCCATTGTAAACTTGGCCTAAAAAAGATTTATTTGTGCTAACAGAAAAGAAGTTTAGAAATGTTTATATTCATCAAAGAAATTCAGTCTTTCTTATAATGTCCCACCAGCGGCCGAGTAGATAAAACCACTAAAGGTCCTATGCTTTGCTTGTCCTATGGACTAGCCACATAAAGTTTATGGTGTCTATCGCCAAAATAGGGACCAGTTTCCTATAGAAAGTCGTCCCGGGAAGCACCCTTTTGGCAGAACGCCCAAGCTTTGCGTTGCCATATTCCATTAATTTAAACCTATGTAGTATTATTTTTACTTTTCTGTATTTTTAATCAATTGAATAATATCGAATTAAAATGTACAACAACTTTGATTTTTATGACAAACAAATTTATACAGTATCTATAAAATTTATTTCCGATTGGGATTGGTCAGATGACTATAAAACTAGACATTAACAGTCCATGGAGAGAAGTTAGATTTGAATTGGGATGTTTAGTCTCAATTAATTCGAAACTAAACATCCCAATTCATCTAAACATCCTCATTGAAATTCACGAGAATTTCAATGAATTTCAATGAGAACATCCTCATTGAAAAATATAGATAAATCGCGGATTTAGAAATCCGCGATTTATCTACATATATATATATATTTTTTTTTTTTCGCCCTGTAGGCACTAAGAGGTCTTTTCACGAGCCCAATAACGGTTTGGTCAGGCCTACAATTGAGGACGAGAACTGCTGATGTATGACTTGAATGGTCTCTTAGATATACTACGTCATAGACTTAACATGTAATTGAATTTCTACATTTAACAGTGTTACACTGTTATTACATTCCCAATACAGAATTTACATTGTATTGCATATTGTTTATTACATATATAACCTTACCCTTTTCAAATCATCAAGATGACCTCGAATTAATGTTTGGACATGGAAAATTCTTTTATAATTAAATTGAAAAGCTGATTTTTGGCATTTCATCTTCCAGTAACACTGAATGCTAACAGCAGCTGTATTCTATTGATATTAAAAATATACACATATATAAACTTATTTGAAATTAAGCTCTTCTCATTGACTGATTAATGTAAAAATACTTTTTCTCAAGAGAATGTCTTTATATTAAATACCATTATATTAATTACAATGAAAAACAATATAACGAACGGTTGGGGCGGTTAAATCGTAAGCATACCACTCTGAGGAATCCGAGATCGCGTCCAAGCGAGCAACCTCAAGAGGTAATTTACGCGGAATGTGTCAGCCCCATTGTTGGCCTAACCGAACCCATAATGGGAATGATTTTTATCTACTCTTTCCATCCTGAAGACATAAAAAGGCCTTTTTCTCAAGTCCATTCTGGGTTCGGCTAGGCTCACAATGGGGTGGGGCAAAGGACAGATGGCACGATTGAAAAGACCCTCTTAGTGTCCATAAGGTGAAGAGTGTGGCCAGATAGCCGAGCGGTTAAGGTGGCAGTCTACCGCTCTGGAGGGACTCGGAATCCGATCCGGATCCGGATCCAGTCGGATCACCCCGAAAAATCCCCAGAAATTTTTCGGGGTGATCCGACTAGATATGTCGGCCACTGTCGCTCACCACCCGGCCGCCCCGTTGTGGATCTGGCCGAACTCATATTGGGCTTGCTATAAGAGGCCGTCCTAGTGCCCACAGAGCTGAAATAGTTTTTAAAAAAAGGTAAAAATAGTCGAAAACGAAAAGTAAAAATCAATATAATAAAATGAGGTAAGAGTGTTCACTAAATTTTGATTGTAATTAAACTTCAATTACAATAAAAGTAAATTTCATTATATTTTATATAAATATACCTTCGTTAACACTTTACGATATGTAAAGCTTCGAATTAACTTCTGTGCCTCGTTAATTCGATCACATTCAAGAACGTAAGCGGATCTTTGATTTTTCATCCGCCATTTCGACTGGATTATTATGGATGACTGAAAATAAATAAATAAAAATAAAGTGAAATAATTAATTTTAAAATAAATCCAAACGTTACTAAAACAATTGAAGTTGAATGAAATTTACTTTTTCAAGTTCTTTAAAAAAGGAAATTCTTAAACAACGAAGGCAATTCCGAATTGAAGATTGAACAAAAATAATTGTTTTATAATTAGATGCGTAATTATTTCGTTGAAGTTTCATTTTCCAAGTCGCTTGAATTATTATGGATTTCTAAAAAATAAAATTTGATTTAATTAATTAATTAATAAATCATTTGTACATAAAAATTATACATTGTATAAGCTTGTTTCTAGTTATTTATAATAGTAAAACTGTTTGGTTATTAGAGAGCACAAGCCGCAAGAAATGGCCTGGTGGACCAGGTCTGGCTCACAAATCACTAATTGACATTTATTAGTATGTATAGTACAGTTGTAATCTCATAATTAATTTTATCCTTTCCAACAATTTGAACTGCTGTTGGCATAATTTCTTGTTTTTTTTTTCTTTTTTAAAGAAAGAAATTATTTCAAATGATAAATGAACATGGAGTTAAATGGTAATCTAAACTGTTCTTTACAACATTCAATTACCAAATTGAATATGTGTAAAGAACAGTTTTAGATGTTAAGCGAACATCAGTACAGAAAATTTATATGTTAATTGAACATAAACCTTTGTTAATTAAATTAGCATATCAATTCTTTTGATGTTTGCTTAGCATCTACATTGAACATCATTTCAATTACTAACTCATTTAAGGCAAATAAAAGCAATTCTTATACATAAACTCCTAATTATTTCTAAAATTCATATAATGGAGTTAAATTAGAGAACAAATTCAGTTTAATTTATATATATGTTACTGTAAATGCTCGAACTATGGTAAATCCTAAGATCTTCCTGTAAAACCTAAAATTTACCAAATCTTTGTGGTAAAAGTCCGAAATGTTCTGCGATCATCGCTAATTTCGAACTTTTACCAGCATTTACTCGGTATATCTTAGGGTTTACCCCAGAGACATGGTAAATGTTGAAAAAATAGTCCCCGCTTTCCGCACTGCACCGCGTTGCCGCCTTCGCTCGCCTCAATTCATCGTTTGACACATTAGAACACGCACGTTAATTCTAATCTTGTTTGAGATTTCGTTGTCTAAAAGTTATTAATGAATCTAGATGAGTATGAAACGGAGATTTTATGAAATAATGGACGAGTTGGTTGCAAGGAAGAAAGATAACAACTTTTAATTAATAGGGACAAATACGCAGTATTTGGAGGAAGTAAAAGCTGCAAAGAACATGAAAAAGAAACAAGCGGTTCATTACAGGTGTATAAAGCGTTACTTCATTTTGACTATAGGCGGCGAAGAAAAACTAATTGCACCTATGAAGGAGGAGGATGGAGAAATAAGGTATTACATTTGAAAACTTATTCAATATTCTCGAAGAAACGCATGTTGCTGTTGGCCACAGTGGAAGGATGCTTAAGAAATGTAACCGCAAGTATAAAAATGTAACAGTTGAGGCTACTATGACATATTTGAAGCTATGTCAACCTTGCCAAAAGAAACAGAAGACTTTGAAAAAGGGCATTGTCGTCAGACCTACACTTCACAGTGAAATGAACTCACGCTGTCAGGTTGATCTAATAGATCTACAAACTACCGCAGATGGAAATTATAAATTTATTTTAGTTTACCAAGACCATCTTACCAAATTTGTGATCCTTCGTGCGCTTCAAACTAAACGCGCCGTAGAAGTTGTAGGCCATCTTTTGGATAATTTCACCACTTTTGGAGCGCCGAGCATCCTTCATTCCGATAATGGTCGAGAATTCTCTAACCAAGTTAATGAGAGTTTATGCTCCATGTGGCCGGATGTAAAAATCGTACATGGAAAGGCAAGACATATCCAAAGTCAAGGATCAGCGGAGCGTGCTAATCAAGGCATAGAAAATATGTTGAGTACGTGAATGGAAACCAATCAGTTATCAAAGTGGTCAGAGGGTTTAAGATTCATTCAGGCAATGAAAAATAGAGCATATCACGAGGGAATCAAATGTTCCCCCTACGAAGTAATGTTTGGTTGTCCAATGAAAATGGGCCTTGCAACTTCAGCAATCCCTGGTGATATGATTAGAGCTATAAGATCTGAAGAAGATTTAGAGAAGTTGTTGCATTCGCATGACAATATGGAACAAAATAATGACGTCGAAAATGCAATCGAACAGGACAAAAAAGAAAGCATTGTTGAAAATGAGTCAGAAGGGGTTGAATTAAAGTGAGTCTTCGAGAAGTTGTCGCAAAATTGTCTTTGACCGGAGGACAAGGTTTCAAGAAGTGCAACTGCTTAAAAAATGCCTAACGAAGAAGTGCGCTTGCAAGTCATCAGGATTACTTTATAATTCTAAATGCCATGATAGCTTTCCATGTTGTAACAAGTAAAATCCTTTTTTACTTTTATTAAATGAACAATGAAATGAATACCAAATGATTAGAAACAATACTGTGATTACTGATTAGCTTAGCCGGGTAGGCTATTATATTATTTTTTACAAGATAATTTAATTTTTGTGACGTTAAAAAAGTATTTTTAAATTGTTTCACTATTTATTAATAAATAGGACTTAGTAAGTTTATAATAGTTGCAATAAATAATTATTAAAATACAGTAGAGCCTCGATTATCCGACCCAATTGGGGACTGGAGTTGGTCGGATAATTGAAAAGTCGGATAACCGAAAAGTATGAAAAAATCCATTATTAGTGTAGTATATTATTATATCCCATGTAATTAGTATATTATTATATCGCTATTAACCTACTTCGCGTTAAATTTTCCTCCATGTTAAGCCTATCAAATTTTTTTAAAAAATAATAATCGTCGCTATTGTATCGTTAAAAATTAGAAAATTAATCCTCATTTAAATACTGGCTCCCTTTCATGGTCGAATGAGTGTTGCCAGCTAAAACACACAAAAATAATATTAAAGTAGCCAAGACATAGCCAAATATTGTAGCGCCACATCACTAGCGGACATTTGAAATTTCCGACTAGGACGGTCGGTTAACCGAGGTGTCGGTTAATCGGGGGTCGGATAATCGAGGCTCTACTGTACTCATAGTTTTATTTCTAAAACCAACATTTACTAATTGTCTTTAGTAAAACCTAGCATGTACCAAATTCTAATGGTAAAAGCCAGGAAGATCATCTCACTTTATAAAAATCCTTACATTTACCAACTCATGTTGGTAAATCCGAAGATTTACAAGTAAAACCTAGGATTTACCAATATACGGGCTTTTACAGTAACATATATATTAATTATATAAAACAAATGATACTACTTCTATATATTGATAAATTAGTAACATCTGACGATCAAGATGGCTACGAATTATCGCTTGAGCATTAATTATTGATCTGCAACGAAGTTTAAATTCTGTCCTGGCAAATAACATCCTACACTTTACTTGAATAGTGATTATACGCGAAATCTAAACGAATAAATATTATTTTCTGATTAGTTAAATATACGAAAAGTTATTTTAATAATATCGTAATTAAAATTTACAGAGAAGAAGCCAGAATAGTGCACGTTCTTGCGTCATTTTGACGTCATTCTTATCCTTTTTCTGTAACGAGGAAGCGTAAAATGACGTCAAATTGAAGTAATGTTGTAAAACTATTCTGACTAAACGAATGCAACTAAGATACCTCTTCGTATACGTCGACTTGATGTATACGACTTTTAATTAACGATTGAATGTTCACTATTCTTCTATAATTTAATCTATAAATAGATTTTTGGAATTTCATCTTCAATTTTGCTTGGATAATTATTAATTTCTATAAAAATAATAAAATATTGTATAAAATATATAAATACTAAGCTATAAGGCTAATAATTACTTAGTAATTTGGCAGGAGGCAGACCACCAGAGCCACCATCTTTATTTAAATATAACATAAATATAGCATTATAAAATGCATACCTCTTCTTCGTATGCCCTGGCACTTTCTTTAACTTCTAAGTGTTTACTCCTTACGGGGATTTTAATTGTAATTTTTGTTTTTTTAATTATTTTACGTCTCTCGGATGTATTATCGATATCGGGATTATTTAAATAATTTACAGTACATTTTATCTTTAGGTTGGGTACATTAATCGAATCTTCAATTTTTTTCATTAAAACATTCTCTAAACTTTTCTTACAAATCTTCGTCTCTCTTTCATTACATTCCTGTATTAAAAATAATAAATGTTATACTAAAACAATATAAAGATTTAAAAATTATCTCTCTCTCTCTAAATTTAAAGATGGTTATTCTTAATATTATTTTTATCTACAGTATATTTGTACCTATCGTGGGTTCAGCCAGGCAATAGCAAATTAGCTACTACCCGGGCCCCAAAGCTGAGCTTAAGTAAGGATTTCCGATCTTTTTCCCACTCTTTGTAGAATAGAATAAAGTGGTATTAAGCTACGTTAAACAACATATCAATTTCTTTTGCTCTCGAGGCCCCCTGACTTCTCGGCTTCAGGCTTACGCTTACCCAGCGTAATAGTTAATTTAATCTGCCACTGCGGCTAGGCCTACAATGGGTAAAGAATGAGGCCCGACACATCTGGAACGGATCCTGAAATTGCTCGCCCAGACTCGATTCTAGATCTCTCAGAGCGATAGACTTATTACTTAACTATTTAGGCCTTCTGGCCGTCGATATCTATGCCTATAACTAATTTCTTTAGCGTATTCGCCAATCAGAAAGGTGTCGTATAATGGCGTAACCATAATGCCGAAAACTTGTTCGGAGTCAACAGGGCCCGAACGTATCAAGAAAAACGTCTACGATCAGTTATCAAAAGGATGAGTAATCATGAAGGTTTTCAGTCGAGGCCTAAAGAATTGAGGATGCAAGATTCACCCTTTGCAGCAGAGAATGAGATTGGAAGGGATCACATTAACAATTCAAACCATGGTTAAATTGTTCGGCTTCTGGTATTATAATATATAAAATTAAGAAAAAGACCGTTTAATAATTTATAATGAGAAATTCGAGTGAAACGTCATCTGGCTTATCCCATTACGGTCTATTGCATCCACAATGGGTATAATAAAAATTATTTAGTTCCTAGTGTGCTGATGTTTCGCACAACAAATCCAATCAAATACTATAAACCTCCTCTACAGAACCGGATCTGAGTTAGTATCACTCAAACACAGACAGTTTCCGAGCCACTCTGAACTCGAACCCAGGTCCTCCAGAACGGAAGATTTGTCGCTACAACCCATCCGCCCATTTTAAGATGTTTTACATATTTCGGTTTCATACCTGAAGAAGCGTCTATATTCATACAATAGTTTACCAGTGCATTATTGCTCAACAATTTTTCATATTGTAGACCTATAAATTCCCACTGACTTCCTTCAGTCGTTCCTTTTAATATCGAGAACGGAATTAGATAGATACAAGTGGAGACCAGAAACGGAAAGTTTATGGGCATATGGTCCTGATTAACAATATACGAATTTCCGGTTTAGACCGAAAGTTGCGTTATTTCAATTCAAAAAGTTTCTTTAGAACGGAGTTAGATGGCCGGGCAGGCCGGGTGGCTGAGCGGTCAAGGTGACAACCTACCGCTCTGGGGGACCCAGGATCGAAAAATCCCCAAGAATTTTTCGGAGGGTGGTCCGTTCGGATATGTCGGGCTCAGTCTCTCAGCACCCGGTCGCCTCATTGTGGGTCTGGCCGAATCCGTAATGGGCCTGCTAAAAAAGAGGCCCTCTTAGTGCCCACAGGGTGGAAAGAGTTTAAAAAAAAAGATAGATGGCCAGTATGACGACTGTTAACAGAAAAAGTATGATGTACAGGGGGGAAAAACACTACTAAAATCGAGAGCATTGTGACAATGTCACAATAATTAAATACTGTATTTACATCATAATCATAAAGAGCTGATGAGGGACTAAATGTCCGAAATGCATTCTCTTGGAAATAAAATGTGATTTTTTAAAGCTGGTCTTTTGCCGTATGATGGTGTGTAATAAGTCTAGTAATATAGGAAAGCCGACATAGCGCTTGTAAATTTAATTCAAGACTAGATAAGAAGCGTATTATAGAAATAATTTCTTGTTCCTTATTCCACTAATCCAATAAGAAAAAAGAATGCACTTGTTTCTGATTGGATTAGTGGAATAAGGAACATACATGGAGTGCTTCTTGGGAGGAATTTCAATGGGAAATTGGTCCCTATTTAGATGCCAGAAACACGAAGAAAACCCGTAGAAGTCCACATGACTGGTTGTCGGTTAGGTACGAACCCGCGAAATATTTAGTGGTTTTATCCACTGGTGGGCCTTCTTAAATTTGAGAATATACCTTATTCGTCATATCACGAATACAATGTTAGTTCGAACCATCAGGCTAATTAATTTTTAATTATGCTAGAAATTTATTTCAAAATATTTGTACCTTTATCATTAAATCACTAACGTTTGACGAACGAGTCGTATCACGCAATTCCAGTAATTTTCCTTCAGAAAACTCGTTTTCTCTTACTATTTTCCCTTTTACCGATTTCCACCATTTTTGAATATTGATCACCTAAATGTCCATTATATATTTTCCATGAATTAATTATTAGAAATGTTCTTCAAATTAATTTAATATATTTTACCTGTTCTATTTCATTATAATCCCCTGTAGCTTCGCGCGTGTATTTAAGTCTGATAGGATTTCGGCAACATCTTTCTGAGGTCGTCTTCCACCAGATCTGTATCGTTACAGCTGCAATATCCTACAAATCACATATTTGTGAATATATTTAATAAAATTAAATCATCTACTGTTATATTATACCATCGCTAAAATAACTGGGCTGTAAACTACAGTAATTTCAAACTATTGTTTTTACTTTTCATCCGGTGGGCACTAAGGCCTTTTTTCTATACCCATTGTGGGTTCGGCAGGCCCACAATAAGGGCGTTCGAATGGTGAGGAAAGGTGAGGAAAGGGGACCCTACGTGTGAAAAATTCCTCGGGTGGCTCGCTCGGATTCGATCTCGTGTCCTCAAAAGCCGACAGCTCCATTGTGAAACATGTAATATGTTCCATAATCTTCCAACTGGATTGGATAGGATTAATGGGTTTAAGGCAACGCAACCCATTGGCGATCTGCTTCCGGTAGAATTTCTATGGGAAGCTTATCTTAGGTCTCAGAAAACCCGGATAACTCCACGCGGGTTAGCGAGGCGGGAAACAGAGACCAAATATCAGTTTTCAGTGGTTTTATTCATTCGTTCGCAAGTGGAATTTTCCAAACGGAAACAGTAAAACCGCTTACAAAATAGAAAAATGTAACTCAAAAAAGGTTTTGTACTGGTAGAATCAATACTGCAGAATGTTTAACTTCAACCTCTTGCACCACGTGCATGCTGCAGTTTACAGGTTTGGTTTATTTGCAATACACGGGCGATCTGCCGAGGGAATGCCTCTTATGAGAAACTGGCTCCTATTTAGTTGTTGCAAACGTGAATAGAACCCCGAAAACCCCAAGTGATCGGCCCGTTGGTCAGATGCGAACCCATAATAGACTACCAGTGCTCAGTAGTGTTATCCACTCGACCACTGGTGGTCTGCATTTTACAAATGTTACAGAATAAGGTTAGCTAAACATTGTTTATATTTTTTACAATCTTGATTTAAAAATTATCGTATTGACTATAAACATTTGCAAATTTTAATTTAAAATATTTAATGGTAAATCGTAGCTTTCTATGGTAAAACAACTGCCATTACATAACATAGGAATTGAGAAATTAAAGAATAAATTGCGCCCTTTCTTATTTCAATGAAGGAACTAAAATAAAGAATTGTTCTTTGAAATTAAGAACGTCTGGCACCCTACTGGAACAATTTGTTCCAATGGCACAAACACAACGTTCATATAAGCCACTTTCTCCGCAAACTTCCGAATTTCTGGTAAAGTACAACAGAAATTCGCTTTTGTACCAACTCTTCCATTTTATAAAATGGCACGAAGGTTTTCAATTCCCCATATTCTGCAGTTATAAGGGTTCACCCTCCGAGATACGTAACACTGCTTTCACAGTTTATAATTGAATTGTTTGGCGAACAAACAAGATATTTTTACCAAAAGCTGTCAAATATATAACCGCTGGGATATTAAAACTTACAAGAATTTTATATTTAAATGGCAAAGTTAATATTTTTTAGTACCTTACACGAAAGAAATCTTATTAAAGCGTATAAAACACAATAATTTCCCAAACTTAAATCATTTAAAAAAAACCATAGCATGTCTCAACTAACTTATAAAATTAATTTTTAGGCGTGGAATATTTAAAAATTTCAAGCTACTTTTACTTAATATATGATTATTAAAATCTATTTACTCTTAAGATGGCTGGAATCAGATTGATGGAACGAGTCCTAGTAAGATAGCCACGAATCCATGTTTGAATGAAAGTAAGTTGGATTTGTTCCTTCTTCATGATTAAAAATATATAAAAAAATTAAAAATCTAACAATTCAACTGATTAATAATTACATTGTTAAAACAGTAATAATAGCAGGAATGTGTAAACAAATAAATAAATTAGAAAAATTGGGAAATAACACAAATAAGTTTATTTACAAGTTGTTACTTACATTGGGATTTTTGTTTTTTATTAAAAAATAAAAGTTTTAACAAAGTGGGTTGATCTACCAATCTCTTGTTCCATGACAGAACTTTACCTTACAAAAGAAATGATATGCACAAGTTTGCAGATTCCTATAAACTTCCCTTTTCTACAAGGAAATAATGTCAGACTTCAAGTCTCACACACAATGAATCACATGTACAAAGCTCACCTATATACAAAATGATTATTAATAGTCAAACATGAAACTTACTCGATGGAAATTTTAAAACCCTCTTGTATCCTTTCCCATAAATTTGTTATCTAGTACAATTCAGTATAGTAAAACACCAATTAGTTCTAACTTAAAATGGAAGGTGTTTGCATAAAACTGCCTTAAAAATTTTAATAATCCATTTTTTGTTTTTTTTTTATTTTTAAATAATAAAGAAAATTAATTTGTATAGAACTGTCTGAACAATCCATATTGTGCTTTGATTTGTCCACAGTTTGTATATTGGCAGGATTCTTTATATGCAAATGTTACGTGAACATTTCCATGATTATTTCATTTTTCGTAATTAAATTAATATACAAGAATAAAATTTCATCCTTTCAAACAATGTTTGAATTTAAAAGAAAGCAGATTTAAAATCAGAGTATTTGCTATGAGAAATTGGTTTGGCACTTGCTATGCAAACCACGAATAATTTGGATATTCGTTGTTTGCCAGCATGTCAACAGAAAGACCCGTATAAAAATTATGTTGCAAGATATACACTCCACTGCAGGCACTAATAAGTGCATCAACCTCAAAACAAACATGATGTAATCATTTCTGTTTCCCTCTAAACAATTAAAAGTTTCAAAATTTTATAAAGTATTTTCAAATCAACAGTATACACTGGATGGAAATTATTACAATTATTCAACAGGTTGAATAATGGCAAATATCTTTTCTTCCCACAGGGGTAGTATTTCATTATCATCTGAAATCTCTTCATTGATGATGCCTGTTCCGAATTCGTCACTGGCTTTTTTGAAAAAGTACCTGAATACGAAAAAAAAAAAATTAATAATACATAAAAAGCAAATATTTTATGTCATCAATAAATTATAATTTCACTTTTATTCATTTAACTTGTCATCATTTTTGTAACTAATCATCCTGTTTCTCAACTAGCATGTCACAATTTCTTCCAGATTACCATTCATGATAAACCAATGATCACAAATGATATTCTTGACTTGTATCATCACTACAACCTCCAATAAATTTCCCAGTTATAAGAGATTTTTGATGTTATACAGATGAAGAAAGTCGGTATCATTTAGTGTCCGAGGTATTAGCATTATTTGTTGGCATCAGGACTAACCAACATGGTTACATATAAATTAATTAGTTAATAGCTCTGAAAAGCAAAGAGTGGATGGAGGTCTGATAGTTTAACTGACAATGCATCTAAATGAAAAGTTGTTGTTGTAGGTTCAAGTCCTATTCAGGACCAATCTTTCTTCCAAAGTATTGTAAATTTACATTAAAAATTATTTTTAATTATTAAATTTATCATGAGATGGAAGTCTAACTGCTTACCTCAAGTCAAATTACTTAATATCTAATTATTAAATTTATCATGAGATGGAAGTCTAACTGCTTACCTCAAGTCAAATTACTTAATATCTAATTATTAAATAAGTCTTATTGTATCCCAATAACATGGCATATTGTTTGGTGGTTGTAAAAAATTGGATTTGTGTATTTCTTGTTTGTATATTTTAAGTATAACAATTTTAACATTAACATATTATAGTAGTATAGTCTCTAGTTTCAACTGGAACTGAAGATTCAATACAAAAAAAAAACTGATAACTCTAACTCAATTTTTAAATTTCCAACTCCAACTACTTCATAAAGTGCAGTACGTTTTCTAACCAATTGCTGTTCGTTCGTCTACCAATTATCTTTTTGGATTACAAAGACGCTACACACTGCATTTGATGATACAGCAACCACGTCCTCTAGTTCATAAAGATTAAAATTTACTAACAACAAAAAACCTATTAAAGTGTAAAAAGTACTATAAGACAATTCTCACTACCATCTGAATTATCAGTATATTTTATAGAACTTTTATGGAACTCTCTTACACCAAGATGAAAGATAATACTGAACAGTGTACCAACAGAAACAACAATAAGTGCAATATGCCAAAATTCTGGAGAATCTTTGGGACTAATAAGACTATTTTTTCCCTTCTGAATTTAAGCCTAGCATCAACCAAGTGATTAAATATATTAAAATATTTGATGATACTGTGCATGTGTACCTGTGAGAATTGAATGCAACCCTCTCCGACGATATCGGTGATAGGTCAGGAATTAATGACAAATGTGACACTTGAACTGCGGCCCATCCGAACAGAAAGATGATAATAAAAACTGCATAATATACAAACTGTGCACTTTGGTGGGAGTGGGAACAGCTGACACACTTCAAAAACAAAGACGGAAAGCTCAACAACACACAAATGGTACCTAGTAGATGCCAAGTCTTCCTCCTTCCATATTTACAAAAAAACTGGTCCGGTTTGTCGGACTCGATCCCGACAAATGGTGTTGACAAAGCGTCAGCTATCTGTCTGATGAGAAGAAGATCCCCTGCAATACTGTTTCTAAATTCCAGCACAAAGTGCTGATAAACTAGTAAATACGTGAACCACATAGATGCACATAGATCATTAAACAGATGGCCGACACTGTAAGTTATTTTTGTACGAAGAGTCAACACCTGACGAGAATCGAAAGGACTTATAACAGATTCGCAATCTGCCATTTTTTGAAATTATATATATACTTTTTTCCTTTTGCCAATTTACATTTAAAAAACAAAGTCTATAAATACAGTACATAAAAAAATCAGATTCAGGTGCACTACCTGTTTGAGAAATAAAATGGCTGATGCGTTTGTTGTTCTTTATATACAACAGGTCATAGGTAGAGGCGATGCCAACTATATACAAAAACATTGATATATACAAATATATATATATATATATACAAAGCAATTTATATCCTTGTTACCTATCTCAAAAATTACATTTTTGAGATAGATAACAAGGAGGAAATGTTAGCAATTTCTCACATAATGAAGAAAATTTACTATTTGAAGCAATGCTAAAAGTAGAATGTCATGACAGCATGGCAAACTATATTTCCAAGTAGTCTAACATTAGAACTAGATTGGGTCCCCAAGTATCTAAAGGACAGAATTATCTGCCAACATGTAAAAAGCTGTAATTCTGAAAAATGGTTGCACTAATAAAGATATGCATCAAAGAGAAAATGTACATTATAAGATTTCTTGTGGAAGGTATGACACAAGCAGAAATCTCCTAAAGAATGACAGCAGTATATGGACCATTATGTCCTGGCCAGAACCCATATCAGGTGTTTACTTGGATCTATAAATTCACCAATTTACTAGACAAGTACATTGTGTGTGGATGTCATAAGTAACTACAGATTTTAATGAGATTGTACAAGAAAACTGTTGCATCACTGTCAAAACAAACTGTATCTAAGATGACAATCAGTTATGGGTCAGCATATTACTAAGATGCATGTGCATTGGGTCCCCAAGCATTTTAATTACACTGCCAGAAGATAAATATATATTTTAAGAAAATGTAATAAAACTTAACATAATTTTGAAAGTTGTGGAATATGTATACAGCAAAACCTGTCTATGGCAGCCACCCACGGTTTCTTCAAAAAGTGATCTTTTAGACAGGTGGTCATCCAATACAGGTGGTGCTGTAATACCGTATTTCTGTATGTATTTTGTGCACTTTTTAGCCATTTCTACTAAGTAAAACTCGAAGTGAGCAAAAATAAGTGAATTTTTTCAACAACAGCGCTATATTGGTACTGTATTGTATTTTATTCTTAACGGATAACCCGATTTACAGGAGTCAACGGATTTAATACCAATATTTTAAAACATTAATACAACAGTCGCATTTTCTCGATTATAATGCACACTTTCTTTCTTCTGACTTAATTAATTTCACTTGGTTCTTTTCGTTCGCTCCTCAGTTACGTGTATTACATCATTGATATACAAGTGCGTGGTATCTCTACATCACTTTTGTTTTATTATTCGTTAATTTAATCTTATTTTAATTTTAAAAATACTGTATTTTTTAATATTTAATATTTTGTTAAGTACAATAAGAAAAATTATTAATTAATAATAAGGCGATTTTATTCTTTTTTCTCATTATATGATTTCATTACATTCACGGGCATAGCCAGGAAGGGGCATGGGTGGGCATGGTCCCCCTAGTCAACCTGGTGCCCTCTCCAGAAAATCACAGCTGAAAAAGTGTTGAGCTGATTTGCAGAAAGAAATAAAAAGTTGAAGCTAATTTAATTGCGCGTAGCATACCGCGGCCCGCAATTAATCTCTGAATATTGAACTGAACTTCAAATAATTGTCTGAATGGATCTGTGATAATTCTCTACAACCTGACAATGTGAAGTTATAGGAAAGTTGAGAAATTCTGATCCTAAAAATAATTCCAAAAAAAAAAAAGGGTCAACGGGCTTCTGTGCCCAATGTGAAAAGTGTATCTGCAATCTCTATGTACAGTTTAGTCTCTATGGAGTGATGCCACAATAAGATCTCGCATCACCTGAAAATCTTGCTAGGGCCGCCTCTGGTTCAAGCAGTAAAAAAAAGTTTTCTTTCCAATTCGGCCTGGTGGAAAAAACTGTTGGCCACCCCTGGTCTATATCTAGATTAAAGACAGTTAACTATATTAAAGAATGGTAAAAAAAATAATTGATTGGTTAATTTTTGTTTAAGGCATTGCTAGAGTTTGATATTAATATTACGAGAACGTATGATTAAAGGAAGTTTCATATTTTGTGTGTGTTAAGTTATTGTCAATTCTTATGGAAATTTCATTTTAATGAACAATAATTTGAAATAATTCAATTTTGTATCAGGTTGGCCTCTACTAGGCCCCCATAACAACTCTGGCTACGCCCATGATTACATTCTGCGATTATCATTGTGGAATCAAAAAAGGAAGGTTGCCTGTAAAACTGATTTTTGCATTAATGCGTTTATTGCTTTTTGAATATTTTGCGTGCGAAAATTACTTGAATGTTATTTTTCTAAAAATATCATGGAAATAAGGTAGGTTGATACAGAAACTATATATCGCACATTTACTGTATATAGAGCTTCAAAATAAATAAATAAAAATAAATTTTACCGAACGATGAGGTCAGTTGATTAATTGCATCGTGTACAATATTTTATACCCCAAGGAAAATACTATAGGTCTAGGGTAAAATCAATTTCGTTTTCCCACAGTTAAACTTTGCCGCTAATTGCTGTTGTGATAACTTATACACGATCTTCTAACGACAGCGCTTTGCATTTCTTTCATTTTTCAGACAATTTCGAACTGAAATGAATTTCCTTTGTTACTAGACTAATTCATTAACACCTGCACCTAATTTTGAGGCTGAGAGAAGTGCCCGAGATGGGTTCGAATGAGAGTTTACAGTAATTCATTATATTGGGGGGGGGAAACGTTGTTGAACAATAGTTTAGACCAGATACATTCGCAAATGTGGTAGCTTATTACAGATGTTGTAGCTTGGTTCAGACCAAAAATCAATGCCTGCGGTCGCATTACACAGGTGGTTGTTTAATACAGGTAACTTATACGAAGACTCTATGGATAAACTATTCGGTGCCAGAAATTTTTGCCCGTTTTGACAGGTGCCCATCAAATGCAGGTGGTTGCCTAAGCAGTTTTCACTGTATATGCATATACATTTAGGCATGTGTATTTGATAGCATTTATATTCAAATTTAATAGCACAAATAAAAAAAAATCTCTGAATTGTGTTATGTTCACTTACATTTCTTTTAATTTATGTCCTGTTTAGTATAAAGAGATTCACTAACAATTCTTTAGTTAATGAATGCTAAAATATTTTCATATATGTACATTTTTCATAGCTTTTAATTATGATGTCCTTAAAATTTTTAAATTATTTTTTCATGTAGATTTCTTAATTCAGATTGTAAAATAAAAATATAAATTGTGATCTGAGAAATTAATTTTGCAGCTGTAATAATATGACGATACAGAGATTACTGATACATATTACATATCTAATTTGAAAGTTTTGTTTTAAATACTTATAAACTTAATTTATAAAAAAATTGCATTTAGTAACATTTTTTCCAGAATTACATTTTAAAACTACGTTGTCTTAACCTTAAAAAGATATGGCAAATGTTTTTTAATACTAATATTGTAGAACAAACTGAATTAGAATTTATCTATAATAAAATTTTGCAATTTGAAAATATAGTAACTATTTACAAGAAAATAAAATAAAAAGTACCAAATCTAACATATCAAATTGTAATTTACCTGTAATTGCCTTTTTTGCTTAATAATGACTTAAACTGTTTCAATGTAATATTTTTGCCTGGTAACTTTGTTCTATAAGGCACAGATTCTCCAGAGAAGCAGTAGCCAATGACAGTCATTTCATTATTTGTCTGAACAGCAGTATTATTATTGTTGTTATTGCAAGATGAGAGTGATTTCTTATTTTGCTTCCTTAAAAGTAAAATAAAAACTGTTAGAAAATACTCCAAATCATCTTGTTATTTAAAGAATTATATTATTATTACTTATGAGATCCCAATTCTTCCAACTGTTCTATAGTTTTTCCAGAACGATACTTAATGTAATCAGAACACATTTTCTCTCTTCCTGATGAACTAATTCTATAAATATTAAACAATTATAGTACATTTTTTAAATAAAAAATGGAACATTAACATTAAATAAATAAAACTTATCCTTTACCTTCCTTTGTAACATTTTAATCTGGCCTCATCTTCTAGTCTACGGCGAGCCTCGACTAATCGTGTAGTTGTGTCGGGCTGCGGTAACATAGGCATTGATGGATCTTGTGCTAATGGCTGGCTTGGCTGAATAATGGGACTATGTGGCAATGGAGCAAATGATGTGATATTTGAATAAGCATGAAGATGTGAGTTAATGTTTTGGGAAACTTGTCCAATGGTATTTTGATTTGATTGGTTGGGCCAAGGAGATGTTCCGCCTCGTTCCAATGAACCTGATCTTGAACTGCTATAAGCAAGTGGTTTCTTGCTGTGGCTAAAAAAATGACACATTGATCATCAATTTCCAATTCCTTGATAAAATAACTAAAGTAAACACAAAAATATATAATTATTTTAATAATTATGTGCAAAAGAATAAATCAATAATCAAAACAATGTTTTCTTTCCATAAATATCACTTAAAAATCTAAAAATATGAAAAATTCGCTGCTGCATTTTTGAGGATAAAACTCAAAGCTCAAAATTGAAATCAATTTTCTATGTGAAATCTACTTTGAACAGAAGCAAATATTTTAGCAAAGTCACTCTATAATTCATGGTATACAACAGGTGTGGCCAAACTTTTATCCCTTAGGGGCTATTTTTTTGGTAAAATATAGTCTGCGGGCGACTATGAATATGGGCAAACAATTTTAGTATTTTTATATGTGCATGCGTTAACATTCATTTGCATTGATCATCGGGATAAATACAAAGAGTATGTATGGGTACATTGAACAGACAGTCTATTATTGTAAGAATAAATTATCAAATTAAGATTTTTAAACATAAATTTAAGTGAAAACAAATTGTTCAACTTTAGCTTTGCGGGTTACTTTCAAAACCTTTGCGTACGTGTTGGCCATCCCTGGTATACAACATTCTATATTGCTCCATCAATCCATACAGGAAACTACTACAAAAACAACATAGCAGTTTTCTAAAAGTAAAATTCAAAAGATTTTAAGTCAGGACTACAGACACTATAGATTAAGTTTAGCAAATAATAAATCTCATTAATAATTACTTAATCTTGACAATGATATCCATCTAAAAAAAACCTCACTGTTAAACAATTTTATCATTAAAAATTAACAGCAATAAGACATGCATTGCTTGATGGATAACCAAGATTAACTACAACATGGTTCCAATTTAAATATTTTATTAATCATTATATTGGCACTAAGATTACATTAATTACTGAGACTAGCAAAATATTAGTGTTATCTTGCATTTTTGTAGAAAAGTAGCAAAAGTTCTGACTTGTTTTTTTTATTGCACAAGTTTAACAATCCATAAACCCAATTTTTAAGTAATGCCAAACAATTTGCCATATTGTCAAGTTGTAATTATTAAATTAGCCTTATTAGAGCATGATAATATGGCAGATCGTTTGGCATTTGAAAGCAAATTTCAGTACCCTCAGAAAATAAATTCAGTCAGTCTAAGAATCATCTTTTCATTTCAAAAAATTAATCTATAGCAGTAATTTTTCCTGTTACCAAAATAATGATTAGTTTTTTGTCTTTTCTCAATAATACCATATTACTATTATTCCAAAAAATGTTTATTTAAATTCGAATCCAAATCTAAAATGTTATCATTCATATTTGTATAACAATGAATAATGCATAAGATTATATTTTCAAAGCATTCATTACAGCCATTATGAGTAAAATATATCACAGTTATTGTTCTATTACTGTAATGATATAACAGTATGGATTGTTAATCTGGAATTGTTGTAGACAAAGAATTAATTTATGAACATTTCTGAAACGTATGTAAAGTATCAAAGAATTTCAGAACTTTTTAATGTTTGTTACTTTGAAATATAAATAAATAAATATATGTATACATATATATTATTTTATCCAGCACATTTCCTTTTATATGTAAAAATATATACAAACCTTGATCTGTTTGTACCACCTGACATAGCAGATGTAGAAGAATGTGATGATTTTTTATGACGTGGAGGAGATTCATTATCTAATTCAGGTCCATGTATTCCATGGGTATATTTTTCATTTAATGATCCAATCCAATTACATACTCTACAGATATTTGAAAATAGTATGCATTAAATATAATTTGTAGTAAAACTTTCAAAATAAGTCAAACAAATTTAGAAAATAGTCAAACCTTTCACGAGCTCTTGTTGTTGGTAGAGGATCATAGATAACACTCACTCCACTATCAAAACAACTACTACTGGAGTCTGTTGATGTTTTCTTACTGCTTGAACTTCTTGAGTTTTCTTTTGATCTTTTGTCATTTGCACGACCACCTTGTTCTGATGGTAATAAGTTAGGACTGAAAATGTTTGTCATATGATGATGTATGTGCTTGTGAATATGTACCGGCTGCGATGATGAAGTTGGTTCATTTTCTGGTGTAAAGTCATGAACAGTTCCACTATCACTAGAATATGTATCGCGTTCCTAGAAATAGCAATTATTATTAATAAAAATAATTTTGTTAAGTATCAACAAATATATTTTTTAAATATCATACACATACACACTCTTTTAATTATATATATTCTAATTTTAAAGTATGTAAAATTAAAATTATTTAATGAAACAAGTGAAAATACTAATATACGTCTACTACTGCCAAATATATCTTCATGAAAGAAAATTTACACTTATAGTTAATTATAATAAAATCAATTAAAACAATTAAAATAAATTTAATACTCTTAATATATAAGAGAGGTTGAGGCGCACGTTTTAAACGTGTAAACGTGTACGTGTGACGTTCGGCGCCGCTTTCCCGTAAGCCTAAAAGTTTGACGATGGTGTATGGACTGTCGAGCGTGATTCCACCGACTATCCAAACACCATTGTCAAACTTTTAGGCTTACGGGAAAGCGGCGCCGAACGTCACACGTACACGTTTACACGTTTAAAACGTGCGCCTCAACCTCTCTATAATCTGAACTAACAGAACTGCTTTAATTATTACTATTTTTTCAATGTTAGCTGAACTAGCAAATATATTTAAAATAAAAATGAATTTAATAAGTTTATAAGTTGAAAATTTTTCTCTCTCATAATATACAGTGTATAACATGATATTCACTTATTAAATAAATCAATAAAACTATAATAAATTAAAAGATATACAACTAATCTACACACTTTATATAGTAGTCAAGTTCAATGATTAATCTCAAGACGGTTATTAACATTGTTATGTAAAAAATATACATAATTGACTGTGTGCAAAATTATTAATATTATGTACCATAACTATTTTTGTACTTGTTTTTGCAATTTTATAAAAACTATTAAAAATTTATAGAAACAATTCAATTCATCTCACAAAACTATATTTTACTCACAAACATAATATCAATTTTTTGAAATCATCATATAAATTGTAAACTATTGATGATAAAAGTTTGTGGGGAGGAAAAATATTTTAAAATGAATTTATTAAATTCTTCTTCTAAGAAAGTACAAAATATTAATATAATGTTCTAGACATTTATTATTTTTAAATAATTTGGAAAGAAGTAATTTTCTAAAAGCCAATTGGTATACAAGTGTTCTTATATGTATGCTTTATTCTTTTTAGAAAACAAATATAAAAGTAATTCATATTTTATTAATTCTAACAATCTATAATAACCAATGCCCTTTAATTTTCCTCTGAGATCCATTGTCAAATTATAATAATAATTATTAATATAAGTCAAATTTTGATATATAATTTATTATCATTGCTTGGATCTTTAGAAATCTTGATACATAATTTACTAGTGGAACAAATTCCTCCAAAGTTTGTTCCTCATAAAAGGGTTATTTGAAATTTTGAGAATTTCAGAAAAATTCTATTTAAACATGGATTGTCAGAAATCTTATAGTAGAAAGTAATCATTTTGAAACAGTCTAATAAATGCAATTTTGAATAATGGCAAATTTTGAAATGTAGATCAGAATTTCAATAAATTGCTTATTTTGAGAAAATGAAAGTGTAAAAACTATTTTAAAGGATTTCAAAAGTTAAACTATCAAAATTAGCTGATTTTTAAATGTTTTTCTCTACTAGATTTCTGTACTGGGGTTTCTACTTTTGATGATTTCTGAATTTGGGACAGGTCTACTTTTTAATAGTTTTTTTAGGAAAGATATATTTACGATTCCTACTGGTTTTGATGTAGATACTGATATTTATTGACTATTTATAGATAATAATTGAAAAGGATATTTACTATTTTTCTATAATATGAAAAAAATATTTGTGTATTTGAGAGAATTTTTTTCATTATTTAAATAATAAAAGCTGTATTACCTTACGATACTTATTATTAGAAACTGCAGTTGATGGAAGCATGTTATAAGGTGAAGATCGACAATGCTGATATGTATTTGGAGGTAATCCTCCCGAATTAGATCCTTTGCATGTTGCATTAGGACACTGAGAACCAATTCTCATTGAAGGATTCAAAGATCCAGGTATATTTGGTCTATGTCCATCTGGAGTTGGAGATAATGGAACTGGCGATCTGCTAGGTGTTGCACTATCTTTCCAAACTCGAGACATGTGATGATCAAGAATTGCTTGATCACTTTCATCAGCAAAAGACTGCTTATCTTGAATTACTGCACTTAAAAGCTGAGGTGGTAATCCAGCAAATCTATCAAATGATGCTTTCATACTCTCACATACTTTAGAAGATCTTTTATCATCCAACTTTAAATTTAAAAAATTAAAAATAGATATTAAATAAATTTTCAATTATGGAAACTATTATATCAACTAGCAATAGTATATTTTTAATAATGCTTTTATATATTTTTATTATAACTGGTAATTCAATTTTTTTTAAATATCAATAAAATGGAAATAAATTAATTTACTATCAGAATTAAGGGATTAAAACTATTGTGTAGATTTATCAAGATATTATAATATAAAAACTATATGCATCTAAAAAAAATACAAAAATCCTAAAATTAAAAAGCAGCATTTTAAATATTTTCTGATATAACTGAACTTTTCTAGAAAATTCTGTATTAGCAATACTTCTATTTTATTCACAGGAACTCACTCACTCATTATTAAAATTCTATAGTGAAGCATTCATTACAAATCCTTACAGTATATTCAAATGTTAAATTCTGATAAATGCACAGAAAACAAAAATATAATTTAAAATTCAAGAATTAATATTGATTTATTACTAGGACGTCATGCAACTTTGTCGTATCGCGACAGAATTGAGGCAGAGCCGGAAAGACAAGTGATCCCTGCACTTGTTAGGCACAGATGAGGTGATCCTTGTACCTGCCAGCCATGAAGGAGATGATCCTTGCACTTGCCGACACAGAGAAGCAATCCAAGAACAAAGCAATCATCATCAATTGTTTTGTTCTTGTGTTGTTTTTTTCTCGTGCCTATTTTCTGTTAGGTGTATGCAATGCTGTTTTTCATTTTTGACTCCTAGGCCTAAACTCCATTAGGCTCATTCAGTCACATCAGAGAGCACAGACATTGTCACTTTAATCTTTAATACTCCTGTATATTGAATACAAAGTTATGGACTTCCTATATTTTACATTTAAATTGCCCCTAATTACATTTTTGGATTCTTCACCACAATTAATGAAAAATGGCAAAGTTTTATTAAAATCAGCCCATTAAATTTTGAGAACAAACTAAATTCTATAGTGAAACCCACAGAAGTGCTAGTGACCTTGTGGGACATTGTGCGAGAAATTGTTTTGTTGCGAGTGCTCGGGAAATTATCTTAAATTGCAAAAACAAACTAATAGACTCCCATTTTTTATTACATATTTGGATTCCTCCTCTCAATTAATAAATAATGGCAAAGCTTAATCAATTCATTAAACAGATTTTGAGAACAAACACAATTCTGTAAGCCACATAGAAGAGGCTTTGCTAACACTCCACCTCAATTATTATTGTAAAATTTCTATAATATATATATGTTTCACATTATAACATTTTGTATATACATTGGTATATACAAAATGTACATTATAACATTACTCAAAGCAAAAAATCTGAAATATATATTTGATACAATAATAATCATTTTTTAATAAAGAAGATAAATCAATGAAAATTTTAAGCATTAACTTACATCACCATCAATTGGTTAAAAATTAAAAACTGATAAAATGTAAATGTATAGGATAGTAATAATGTCAGGAAGAAAGTCAATATAAATTAAAATATCATTTACAACATTTTATGATGAAATTTAAAATACCTCCAACTTTTGAAAGTGTTGTTCAAGTTTTTCTTCTAATTCTTGTTCTCTTTTTACTTTGTTTAACTTTTCAATCAAAGCTTCGGCAAATGCTTTCGGTTCGGTTTTTGTTAACCATTCTCTTGGTGGCCTGTGAGTTCTCTGTATAGGAAGAAAAAGAAAAGTAATTTTTATTAATATTACATTAAATATAAATATAAGACAATTTAATTTCAACACATTACGTACGGGTATAAAAGGCTGATGAGGAAAATGATCCTTATTGAGATTTGCATTTATTCTTGATGAATGATGGTGTTTTCGACAATAATTCTTAGGAGGATACACAGGACCACAATCTCTATAAATTACAATTTATTGAATTATTATTATTACAAAAGTAAAATTTTAAAAAGAATATAAATAAATTGCACACAATATAATTAAAAGAGAATGAAGTTAATATATAATATAATATTTATATAATATTAATATAAATATATATATACTACATAAATTCCTATTTAAAATAATTGCTTAATAATGATTCTGTATAAAAAATATTCTTACCTTAAGATAGAATTTTGCATCATTAAAATTATGCAATTTTTCTTAATTTTAAAAACGTTGAGATAAAAAAAATAATGTACTTTATTCTATTTAATTTTGCTCCACACATCTCTTCATACATTTTAGTACTGTTTATTTAAAATAACATTAACTGACTTGAAATTAAGGCAACAAAGACAAGTGTTATCTTTCAAATAAATCTAAAGCAATATAACAAAATTATATCAATACTATTACAAGTCACACCAATATTAGAGTTTTATTCTTAGTATTCTTTTCATTATTTTATTATTAATTAAGTTTTTTAATAGTTTCTTAAATCAGAAAGTATTGAATAATTTTATTTATGTAGTTTATTTATTTACAACATTTTTAATATTTATTTGGATAAAGTTTACCCAATTAATAAATTCACAATCATCAATTTTTAATTGATGAATTAAAGACAACAAAATTCTCAATTATTAATCAACTAAAATGTTTTAAAATAAAATAAAATTAAATATTGCATTCTTGATTTAACCATAAAATTTAATATTAAACTAGATCCTTTATGATATTCACAAAATCTATTCTGGACAGTGAAGAAATTACTTCCAAAAACAAAGCTTCTCATACCAAAAGTTTGTAATTTCTTCACTGTCTAGAACGTTCAGTGTGAGAAGCTTTCAAATCCTGTTCAATTGAATAGAAAATATTTTAAAAATATATATATATGAAAAAATTTAAAAAACAATATATCCCCTTTACTGAATTTTTTCTCGAAAATGAAATAGAACAGCCTTGTTACACAAGTACTACTTTTAAATTTTCCAGGATTCCAGAACTCACTATTTACTTATTTTTCTTAATTAAGCAAGTGTAAAATTATATTTCATTAATTTTTATGAAACTAAACTATATTTGTATAAAAGCCTTTCCGAAATATTTATTTTGTCAGAATAACTTTTTAAAGTTTCCAAAAATTTTGGCAATGTCAAGATAAATCTTAACACAAATTATTGTGTGTGTTAGCTTAAGTCACATTAAAATACACATATGTATTTTAAAAACAATAACAATAAAATAGCTATTAAGAAAGTCTATTATAAAATTTTAATTAATTGGTATTGAAAGCAAGCAAATGGATGAATGATTACAGTAAACATGTATAGTATATAAACATACATACATACATAAATCAATATGAAAGATTAAAAAACGTAACTGCAGTTTGATGAAATATTATGCTACTAAACTACCATATTAAAAGTAATTAAGTTTTCTATTATATACAACTCACAATTAGTATAATAACTCTTAAGATATAATTATTATCATAGATATATTGTGTATTATCTGTAAGTTAATTATAAAGTTTTAGTCTCCTGTTCAGACTCAATATTCAAAAACTAGCCCATATTCTATTATTAAATAACATCTATAATCAGACTCCCATCTGCTGTCTCATGTTGTTATCAATTATAAAACAATATTTGTGAAATATTTGTTTACAGTAAACATGTATAGTATATAAACATACATACATAAATTAATATGAAAGATTAAAAAACAACCATAGTTTGATGAAATATTACACTACTAAACATTGTTACAATTACATTAAATCATTTTTATTACTTTTATATTTTACTTTAATAAATATTTTGTAATCCTTGAAAATTGTTCTGTAACTTTGATGTAATTTGAATTTTAAAAATAACTATTTTCTTGCACATTATTGTAATCTTTTGCCTGTTGATGCTGATGATAATCTGAATTTACCAAATGTATTGCTGTTAAATCCTTTTCAATTTAAAATTAAATATATCTAATTATTCAGTGTTAGTACAGTACATAAAAGCTACTGAACTTACACACTACTGTCTGCAAGTGAAGATGTATCATCCGTCTGTGCATCTGAAGATAAGCTTTGCAATTCACTGTCTTGTGCTGAAGTTGGGAGGAAAGAAGAATATCTTGCATGACATGAGCTTGCCATCCTCGATGCAGGCCCCATATAATGACTACAGAAAATAAAAATTCATATTAACTGTTAATATTTTTACTACAAAAATTTGTAAAATAAAATAATTATTTCATTCATAAAATATTCTATAATTGATTAATATTAAAGAATGTAAAATTATTGCTCGTGATTTCTGATTATTAAAGCAATAATTATAAAAATAAATTTGGTGACTAAAATCTTTTCATAATTTAAAGTTGTTTCCCTTTCTGGAAAAATCCCAAAAATGCATTCTTTTTATAACTTGAAATTTTGTAAATTTGAAAATTTTAGCTCTGTAAAAAAATTCAATTTATTATGAGTTGACTGGACTAAGGAAGGATGGATGAGCATAAATTTAACTTTGAAATCAAATGGTTTAGAATAAATAATAAGAAAAAACAAACAAACAAACAAATTAATGTATAATTATGAATTATTAATTGATTTTAGTTTTTTGAAGTCATATTTATAGTAATCTCTTCAAAAATACATATATTTTGTGATAAAAACTATAAATATGTAATTTAATTGTACTGTATAACTTTTAAGAATTATTTTAAATTATTTATAGAAAATCATAACTATAAACATTAATTTGCAAGTATAATAGGAAGGAAATATTTTTACATTAAATGAAACTTGCATAATCAGCAATTAATTTTCTTAAAAATTATTATAATTATTTCAATAGAGATTATGAACAATTACAGATGTCAATAACAAATGTATTCTGTAAATTATGTAATGGCTTTTTAATAATTTTTTAAAATTATTAAATGTTACAATATAAAATAATTATAATAATATTCAACAGATAACTTGTTATTATGTATTGTAACGCTGGAAATAGAACTGCTCATTAATACTGATTAAACATACAAATATTTAGCTACATATAGAATCACTGAAATAAAATTATATCAAATTAATATAAATAATATGATTAACATTGATTTCATAAATAAGAAAAATTACTTTTAAACACTTCTTGGCCAATTCAATTACCATAAAAATCACTATTATTTAAAACTTATTTTCTAGAAATGATTTGTTGCCCATCTTTGATGATTTGGTGTTTTTTGATGTGAGATCATCTGAAGATGCGCAATGAACAGGTCAAAAAAGATTAATATATATTATAAAAGATTTATATATTATATCCATACAATATCCACATATTTAAATATACATACACACTATATTTCCTTGATTAAACACAAAGAAAAAAAATACTGTTAAAAATAAACCCCACGTTGAAGAGCATGGGAAGCATTTTGAAGTATTGCCTTGTACAGATTAATATACTTCGGAATGACAAGTAAGGAATTTAACTAAAATTCTATCTCTTCAAATTGTCTAGAGTCAGCCAGCACTTTCTACTCAGGTTTACAGAAACATTTGTTGAAATAAAATTACATTATTAGATACAGAGCTTGGGAAAGTTGCAATGGAGTTCATTTCATAAGTTGAGAGCTTAGCCAAAGGGCAACTAAGAAAACTCTGGTTCAGTTTGAATTATACATTAGTCAAGATTTTGATTCCTACAATGAAACTGAAGCAGACATGAATGACAGTGTAATAACTGAACTGGAAGACACTGAATCAGGTTAACTATGAAAACAAAAATGATTTCAAATGTCATAGCGGTAGCCATACAATCAATAAATGGTTTTTGTAGTTTGTAGCACATGAAATTAAAAAATTAATTAGCATTTACTGAAGGTAGAAATGAAGATCCCATCTTATAGGTCTCTCTTTCAAAAATGCGTGCTAAAATTTTATTGTTTTAAGCTGCCCCTAGTATTGTGACATTTCAATGTTAAACAAAATTAAAAAAAATACCAAACAATTTCAAAATGTGATGGAAAAAAATTACAAAAAGACATTATAACATATTTTGGTTTAAAAAAAAGACTCATCCTAAAACTTCAGCCAAAATATGACTTTTATAAGACCTATAAAACCTTTCATTTATACTCAACATGACCTGAAACATATGTCTGTGAAGTCAGACTCATAGAAAAAGTATGACTTTTCCTTAAAATCCAATGCCTAGTATGAATAATAAATAATTAAAGGTGACTCTCCATTAACTAGAACTCAAGCAACTGGTAAAAGAAAAAAAAAATTGAAGAAATAATACTTTAAATAAAATCAATTTCTAGCAGAAATATAAGTTTAAACTTGGTGCATTGTTCCCTGAGTAAGTCCATATTTCACGCACACCATGTTTGTCTCCTACTCTTGCCATTTAACTATAACTAAAACTGCACAAATCATTCAAAGTGCAGCTTTTATAATAAAACTGTTAAGTTTATCTTTATTTGATTTTAATTACTGTACTTCATATATATTATATTTCAAGATTACAGCTGGAAATGATATCTAGTAATAAAATCCACACCATCATTGTTGGAGATTTATATAAGGTGTGAATTTTATTACTATATTTCAATATTAATATCAAGTCAATACAGGTTATTGTATGGTATGGTATAGTATGGGATATATTATTAGTTAGGCCTATTTTTAATAGTAACTCAAACAACAAACTAATTTATCTGACATCTACCAATTTTCATGGGTACAGAATAACTTGAAATCTACTATAAAACTACTATAATTTTTCATACTCTATGAAATTACATAAATATTTCAATTGAAGTAGATAAATTTTTGAAATTTAAATTGTTTTAGTGCATATTTAAGAACTACTGATCAATGAATACCTTCCAATAATTAAATATATTTAAAACTTTTTTTTTTTTTTTTTTAACTTTTATAAAAATTAGCAGAATGGCTTACATGAATAGCTGATTTAATAACATTTTTGCTTAAATATAAAACATCATCACTTTTACAACATATAAAATAGAGTATCTTTACAGGTTAAGAGCAAAAATTTCTTTTCAGCTGATTATTGTGGAAATGAATAGTACAACACATACATTGGCATAAAATTCAAAGTTGGGACAGCTTTAAACAATGATTCAACTATCTTGCCTCTCTCCTATGTTGTAGAGAACAGTAGCTATCTCAGCTCCTAATAGACACAGTAATAACAGCAACGGTAAAGTTATAAAGAATGACAAAATAAATCATTTTAGCTTCTATTGCATTCCAGAAAACTGAATGGAATCCTGAACAAATTTTCAAAAAGTGACAATGAGAAATGATGTCAGAAATAAATGGAAGAATACCAAAAACTATGATGTTTACATATTTCTTTTATTGAACATAATAAAAAATGACAAAGCTAACCAGCAGTTTATCAAAATTGAAAAAATATTGTACTTATACTAAAAGTGATAATTAAACTCAATGCCAAATTTGTACAAGTAATAAAAACATACTGCTTTTGGGCATTACTTTAGCTTAATTCAAACAAAATTAAGAAAGTGCAGGTTTCATTTAAGAACTCCTATTTAAAATATGTTGACATATCCATTTAAATTTTGTTCATATTCTAAATACATTTGTTCTGCCTGAGAACATTTATGCAATGTTAAAAGTACTTGTGTGCCTATTTTTGTTTGAATCAAACTAAAGTAATGCCAAAAGACTGTTTTTATTACTTGTACTATATATAATATCGTTTTGTAGTGTAACAAGGCTTTTTCTAAATCAATTTCTCTGTAGGACTAAGTGGAAGAAGATATAAAAGCATCTTTTAGTTATTAGTCCTTCCACAACACCATTCTTTAACTAGATTTATGTTTCAATTAAACAATTTAAGAATGAGGATTACATAACATTATGGAGCAGCATCATACAGAGTAAAGAAGCGACTGAATATGGATATCAGATAATAGTGAATAATGTTGAATGATCCAGTTAAATAGCTACCTAGATGCCCAAACCTCTTACCCTAATATGGGGCTACTTGAAAACAAGATATACAGGGTGTCTCAGTTAAACGTTTCAGAACTTCTAAGAGGAGTAGAGTGCATCCCGACGACTTGGAATCATATAGCAATGTGGGGTCAAATGCTTTCCTGACATGGTAGATGGCGTTGTGCAAAAGTTCCGAGCGTTCTTGCAGGGAATTGTCATTTCACACAAGGATGCAGAGTTAGCCAATATGCATTTGGTATATGGGCCTGCAGATTGTAGTGGGCCAGCCTTGTATACAGAACAATATCTGATGAGGCATATTCCCAGCCATAATTTCTTTGCAAGCTTGCACCAGAGGTTAGCTGTTTCTGTGTACATCACCACTTCAGGAAAGCATTTCCGACCCTGCATTGCTATATGATTCCGAGTCGTCGGATGCACCCTACCCCTCTTAGAAGTTCTGAAACGTTTAACTGAGACACCCTGTATAAAGCTCAACCACTAAATACACATTTAAGACAAGAAATTCTATTCTTGGTCTCAACTTAACCTAAGACAATGGAGTCTAAGGGTCCCTTCCTATTGATTACGATGATGATGATTGATGATGGTGTTACTATTATATTACTTTGTTGCTTTCCATGGAGAATGAATATTAATGCCTTTTTCAACCATAACACATGTTATTGAGTAGTTTCTAAAAGTCATTTATCAATGAAACAACAGAATACCATGCACAGTTTATAATTTATTTAATATTTATTATTTAACTATGGTTATAGGCCTACTGGGAGGTTTACCCACTTGTTCACAAATTTATAGATTTATTATTCATAAATCCACTGACTTGTGTGAACAGTAGAATTTGTAGGTAAGTAACCCAATTCACATTCTCTTTGCTCAACCCCTTCTTGCTTCACTCATTTGTTTTAAAATTCTGACAATTTAGCAATTCTTAGTGCCATCTATTTTGATTTTTTCCAGTATGAAAAATCAAAAAGGTGTCATGATGACTTTATGCACCAAGTGTGTATATATATATAGAGTAGATAAAGTAATTAAATTCACAAGGTATTTGAGGGTTATTCAAGAAATTCAAATATTCAAAATGGCTACAAGAATTTCTTCAAATATAGTAGTACAAATTAGTATATTATCTTCTAGAGTCTACTTAAAAACTTT